GTCCAATACCATCCGATGGCAGGAGTCGGCGCTTATGGCCATACAGGAGGCCACCGAAGCCTATCTCATCGGTCTCTTCGAGGACACCAATATTGTGGCCATTAATGCCAAACGCGTGACAATTATGCCCAGAGATATGCGTGTCGTTCGCCGTATACGCGGTGTCGGCGATCCCGGCAACCGATGAATGTCTGGCCGTGTTTTCAATGTATTGTCTTTTCATTATATACTGTATTACTAATTGAAATATTGTTTTTATCACTTTTTTGTCATTTTTATGTTTTTCTAACTCGTGTTTCTTAAGCCATATATTTCTTAAGCGTTTAATTAGATTAGAAATTTTCTTAATTGATGTCATATTTTGAGAAATAGTCTTAATTATAGATCAATTTCTGCATCTAATCATTGATTTAGTGTTTTTATAATTTTATTTTGATTTGTCTAAAAGTATTAATCAATTTTTACTCAATAAACCCTAACAACTAATTATAACTCAACAATTACTTAAATCACTAAAACTACTTATAAAACAAGTGTATGTTTTAAATTGATTGCTTTGTCTGTAAAATTGTAATTAATATATAAATTTCATTGTATATTTCCTTAATATCTAAATCTATTGAAATATAAAATGTAATTATTTTTCTATTATCAGACTATAAGCCAATCACACAATAAAATGCTAACATTTAATTGATATTTTTAATTGATTATTATTTTAAATATTTTGTAAGTTATAAATCTCATGACATTGTGAACGATGTAATCAATTTTGTTGTTTCATAATAATTGCAATTTAAGCACTATATATGAGAAATTGATCATATGTTTATCATATATCAGCCAATAACCTAGGTACATTACCTCTACCATAATGTTCAAATAGGTATTAGTTTAAGTAATTTGTTAACTAGTTATAATCTATAACTTATAAATAGGTTTTATTTTAAATATTTCAATAGTGAATGAATTTTAACACAAATAATGGAAAATAAGACAATTGTCGAGAGAATGCGGAACCGTTTCGCCGAAGAATACAAAACAAACGGCGATTTATATGACAAAACGGACGCCAATAAAGTTGTGTCAAACGATTGGGAGATCGAGAGGTTTGTGATGGAGTTTTCGGCCGAAGATAAGGCCTACGACTCAATGATACGGGCGTTGCGGTGGCGGCACTCCTTTGGCGTCCACCGCCGCAGCGATCAGTACTTTCCCAAAGAGTTTTATCAATTGGGAGACAAAGAGTGTTTTGGTCGCGACAGAGAGGGACGGCTCATACAGTGGGAGTGCTATCGTAACGATCGGCGCAAAGTGTCCGCATCTCTGATGACACTTCAGAAGCAGTTTATGGCTCATATCGTTCACCGATTGGATGGACGGGTGGCCGCCGACGGCTACACTTTGGTGTCGGACATAAGGGGCGCCGGTTTGCTGAACGCCAACTACGAGTTGATGCGCTTTCGGATCCAATTGATGGCATACTATCCACAACTCTTGCGGAGGATAATTGTCGTCGATTTGCCTTCCGTTTTGAACGCATTCACGCGACTAATGCTCACATTTGTGTCAAATCATATTAAAAAACGAGTTAAATTCATTGGTCGACACGAGTTGCGGGACTTTATGCCCGAAGATGTCATACCTGTCCGACTGGACGGTCCCCGACAGGAGTGGGCTTTTCCCGAAGACCTCCTGTCGATGAATGCGTTAAAGCATTTGGATTTAACTCCCGATGAGATTAATAAATATCTGGATATGTATTCCGATAAGTTATCACAAAATTAATATTAATTAATAATTTATGGAATTTTACACTTAAAGAAAACATAAGTATTGATTATTTGCTATAATTTATATTGAATATTAAATTATGTAAATCTGACAAAAATTATTAAATATTTTCAATTAATTAATTTAATAATATAGTTAGTTATTAAAACTGATAATTTAGACATTTATCACTACATGAAAGCGTTAATAAATAATGTATGAATTATACAATAAAACATAAAATTACTAAATGATTGTATTGTTTGCAATGGTATCCAAAATCCATTGAATATGAAACGAGACATTTGTCTCATAAGATGACCAAAAAGCGCAGAAACCCAGGAAACCATCGGAACTCGAATGAATGCCAACCACAATGGCTTTAGTCCGGTATTTATCGATATACTGTACTAAACCACTACCAGAATCTCCCTGCACCATTCAATGAGCATAAAATCAATGATCATAATTATTATTATAGATCACATGTTAGCACATAATAGCACACTTACATAGCAGGTACGGGTTCTGTTGACTGTGCCCTTGTTTAAATGGGAACTCATACATATGCCCTTCAATTCACACTTCTCTTTAGTCGTATTCTTCCACAATTCAAAGTCACCGCTTTGTAGGTATTCGTTGTCGTCGGCCAACCAACTGGTGGAAGCCATACCGAACCCGAACAGTGTCCCGGTGTCGCCCGCCGTGTAATCCATGTCCATATCTGGCAAACATATAGTGTTAACACCCAGTGGTTGATGAACTTGGTCATTTTGGCGCACGAATGGCGCCTGCAATTGAATCAAACCGATGTCTGTCGTATAGTCTGTTTGATTGGCGTCCGGATGTTTGATATAGTTTATTACTTGTCTCTTGTCTATTGGAAAGTGCAGATGATTTCCCACTTGTATTTCTATTAATTTTACATTTGTTTTATTCCTAATTAATTTAATCCATCAATAATTAATAGAAATTTATTAAATACATTAACAATAATTATTATTGTTGATAGTATATCAATGATATATAAGTAAAAATTGATTGATTACANAGATGTCCTGAAGTATTTCGCGTATGAGTCGAGCGAACGGCAGTTTCCGCACCAATAGATCGGTGGTGTTCTGGAAGCGGCGGATCTCTCTCAGGGCAACGGTTCCGGGTCTGTAGCGTTTGCGCCGATGACCACTGGTGGCGGTGCCGTCCGCGTGAGTGTCGCCGTCCGGTCGCCGCGCTTTGGGCGCCGACTGTTTGCGCGACTTCTTGGCCGACAGTCGCTGTCGTTTTGCCGCCAAAGTCTTGCCACTCGTCGTCGCCGTCAATGGTGTGGACGTCGAGCGCACTGGAGTTGAGGCCACTTTCGCAGGTGTTCTCGTCATAGCGTGTCTTCAGTGGTGTTGTTGTGGTTGTTGTCAATGGATGTGAGCACTGATTGTGACAATCAATTCACTCAAATGTAAGACACGATTGGCTTTTGAGTTGTGTTTTGTGTTGTTATCAATGATTTTCATATCATTTCCCTCCACTTCTCCCATTGGCTCACACTTTAAGGCCATTCATACCATACGTCCACTCATTGCCCCCAAAGCCATGCTTTTCTATACAAATCTTGTATTTTATTTATTGACGTAATTTGTGTGCAAACCATTGCATAGTAAATGTATTGGCGTTTGGTTTAAGTTTAAAACCAAATGAAAAGTAAATCAAAAGTAAACCAATTGTTTATAAATTGCAAAATAAATCAATTTTTATTAGTTTTGTAAACATTAGCCAAAATTATAATCAATTTCTCATTACATTTGTTATATTAGTGTATAATTTAAAGCCTAAAACTTGTGGTCAAAAATCATGTCTCAATCGCCAGTTTTGGGCGAATTCTTGGGCGACGACTCGACGGCGACGGACGGAGTGGTCGGCGGCCGCACTCCGTCGGGAGTGTCCTTACGGTCGGGCGACGGGAGCGGACTCTCGCGGACAGAGGCGGCGGTGGTCTTAGGGCTGACGGACACCACCGGCGAACCCGCGGCTGTGACGGCAGGTCTGGGCTCAATGGCGGTCACGTATTGGTCGATCACTTTGGTGTAGTCGTTGTTGTACTCCTTGGACGACATGATTGAGTCCAATCGCGGGAATCGGCGGAGTGTGTAGTGACTGACGCGGAA